AAGATTAGAACAACTCATTTAGCCTCATGCAAGAACCATTCATACACATAAATTTGTTTCCAAATCGTTTATATGAGTAATTTAGGAGAAAATGTCTCAATCACCATTTTCTCCTATTTCTAATCTTCTCTCAGGGCTCCAGACTGACGTAGGAGTCCTGTTCAATCAATCAGCTGTTATCCAAACAGTTTTTCACTTAATAACCACATTTGTTGTTAATTAGAAGCAACTTTCCTTTTTATTAGGCTTCATCATTTTACACTGCTCAAAAAAAAAAAAAAAGGGAAAAGGTAATAAGCACAATATAACTTTAATCAAATCAAACTTCTGTGAAGTCAAACTGTCCACTTAGGAAGCGACTCTCACTGACAATCGATTTCTCCTGCTGTTGCTCAAACTGAAGAGACAACAGGTGGAAATTATTTGCAATTAGCGGTTGGGAACCACAGATCTCTCCTCAGTCCTTACGCTTTCTGGCTGATGCTTTGGTCACTTTTGAATGTTGGTGGTGCTTTCACACTCGTGGTAGCATGAGGCGGACTCTACAACCCATGCAAGTGGCTCAGATAATGCATCTTATCCAGGATGGAACATCAATGCCAGCTGTGGCAAGAAGGTTTGCTTTGTCTGTCTGAGTGTCCAGAGGCAGGATGCGCTACCAGGAGACAGGACAGGACACCAGGAGACGTGGAGGAGGCCGTAGGAGGGTAACAAACCTCCGCCTATGTGCAAGGAGGAACAGGAGGAGCACTGCCAGAGCCCTGCAAAATGACCTCCAGCAGGCCGCTAATGTGCATGTGTTTGCACAGATAGTTAAAAGCCAACTCCATGAGGATGGTATGAGGGCCCGACATCCACACATAGGGGTCCTGCTCACAGCCCAACACGTTGAACGATACTTGGCATTTACCAGAGAACACCAGGATTGGCTAATTCTGTGCTCTTCACAGATGAGAGCAGGTTCACACTGAGCGCATGTGACAGCAGGTGAAGTTGAAGAATAAAAACTTTGTTCAAACAGGTAGGACCTGTGCATCATCTCATGGGTTCCTCCACAGTTTGATTCTGTCTTCTTTTACGCAGTAAATACTAAAGCCCCATATACACTGCCCTTTAGAAACCGTGCAGAGAACCGTGCTAACATGGTGCTAGTTCATCAGTAGGGCTCGTCGCGGTTCAGTTCTGGCTTGGTTCTCAGATAACAAAGAGCGCATGAGCAGACAGAGTCATCTCCTTACAGTCAGCCTTATTATCATGAAGTTTCAGAGATTCATAAAAATCCTAGCTTCCCTACCGTGCCACACGATTCCCAGTGATGATTCTGCTAAGCAGTGAGATGAAACTCAACATCTTTCATTGTTTCCTGTGTCTGAAAGCCCTGATTAGACTTTGTTTGGCTGCCTTCTTCGCCTGACTCTCCGCAATCTTCCTGAATGTTACGGGCGGCACCATGTTGGTTTGCTTGTTTCCCTCTAGAGAGCGGTAGTACCGTAGATCGCCACTAGGAGGCGAGGCTCTGTGCTAGTGTGATGTGAAAAACGGTCGTAAAGAACCGAGCTCTGCACGGTTAACTGATCCAAGCTCGGCACGGATCGGTTTTCAGAGGGTAGTGGAATTGGAGCTAAATGATCAATGATCGTTATCAACGGTTATCAGTCCCATAGAACGGCTTCAGATTTTGCCAGTAGGCTCAGTAGGTTGTTATCATCGAGTGAATTCTAATCCTAATCCTAAAGTAATTCCTTTTCCCCCGCAGAATTAATTAATCTATTTATGTGTAATCTGAAAATAATTTCAGTTGTTCTTCATTTACTTTAAAATAACAAAATAAAAATAAAATGATGCACACGTTGCTCATTATAAACAATCAATAGCAAATAGATCTCATATCCTCTCAGCTGAGTTGTAGAATCCTCTCCCTATAAACATTTAATTCTCTGTGAAAAAGTGCCGATCATTCTTTAATAAGATCCTCGTCAAACGGACATGAGGCCATTTTTTTTTCTGCAGCCATAGCAGATTGACAGCTTCATTTAAAAGGCAATGTGTGCAGGTTTCAACCCTTTTTACTCCAATAACCCTTAAAGTTTGGATTGAATAACTACATTTTTCTCAGGGCTTTCAGAGACAGCTGCCAGAGACGGCACTGATTTATGTGAGGAGCTGGGCATGAGCCCTCACTGAGCCTGTCTCTTTGAATTATGACAGCAGTTAATAGATATTTTACATTCCGCCATGTACAGCTTCTAACAGTGATCTAAGATGCCTCCGCGAACACGAGTCCATAAAGATTAGACCCAAAACATCTCAAGCAGAGTGTTTTTCTTCCCAGCCATGATTCAGTGGATCAGGGGGAGGATTAACCACCCACCTCAGACTGATATGATTGTGTTCAGTTTAATTGATTCATTAAGGCTGATCTTTTAATTAGCTGAACAAATAACATGTGTCCATGTGTCCATGTAGGACTCTTTACACTGTATAACGTTACAATATAACTTACAAAGTGGGTTCAGCTGAGTAGGATATGAACACTTCAGAGCTGCTCCACCACTGCTTCACCCTAGAAAGTAAAATGCGATGGTCCACTGGGTCAGAAGCTGTTAAAATGTAGGACAGCAAGGGGAAAGGAACATAAACCAGAGTATGTTGCTTTAAATATGCTTTAAAAGGGTTTAGAAAACCTAAAAATGACCTTTGAAATTATTGGAAACCAGCCAGTTAAACTTCTAAAATGTTAAGTTCTTTTAGAGATGTCAAACACACATTGGAGACTAACTTCCTTTGGAAAGAAAATTTGGAAATAAATAGAGGTTCACAGTTTTTCCTTTAAGTATAACCATCAATGTTTGAAAGCTGTCTTTTAATTAGGGTCTGAATGGTTCAAATAAGAACCATCAACAGCCGATACTGCACCGTATCGGAATCGGAAGGCAGACTGGTTTTTACAATAGAATGAGCTGAAAGACTTACAGGAGACTTTTCTCCTTGGCTCTACCTTTCTTATACCTCATCCTAAACAGTTACATTATCCAGAGTTCTCTCTACTGGTATGCTGCTAGAGGCTTCATCTGCTGGAGGACATAGGGGCTGTTGTGTAACTTTAATTAATGTATTGCTCACCCCAGTGGGAGTGGTAAATATGTTATTTAATCAGTTATTATTAAGACTGTCTTATATGATGTTTGTGAACACACACCCTACTAGCTGTGTGTTAAACTAGTGAAACTCAACTAAACTTTAAACTACTATG